AAATTGAAGGAAAATTTTGGGCAATACCAAAAAAAAAAAAAAAAAAAAAGCTTGGCATGACAGTATCTCCAAGAGAGTGGGAAAACAAGTATTTTCACAGCTTCTCAATAGGAATGTAATTTGGTTGGTGTACCAGTCAGATAGCAGGTTAAAATGGTAAGTGAAGGAAGCTTAATAAAGGGTCATTTATGGGTATGAGCTCAGGGTTGAGGAAACCTGAAAGTGTTGCGAAGCACTCAGGACAAGCAGCTGCAGGAAGTGGTTGCCACCAAGCCTGAGGGACAAGGGAGGGAAATTTACTGAAATATGGAGGGAGTGGTGGCCATTGGGGAGGAGCTGCTCAACCGGCTTCTGGAAAGGAATGTAGCTACTGCCAAACAAGCCTGCAGCTCCTTCCTCAGCCTTCTCATCTGTTGTGGAGGGGAGGGGACTGAGTGGGAGGTGGTGGGTCAGCCTCCTGGGGAACAGAGCAGAGTAGAGAAAGCTAGTTTATATCAATAGGGGCAAACAGACTACCTAACACAGAGGACCCGTTAACAGGATCTTAGCAATTTTAAACAAACTTGAATCTAGAAACTCCACTTCTAAGACTTCACCCTCCAGAGAAACTCATGTACATATACAGTTGGAAAATAGTAAGCAGGAGTATTTTGTATTTGTGAAGAGCTTTACATTTCATCCTCTTACATTTGCACTATTACTATCACCATTTCACATTGAAGGAAATTAAAGTTGGTAAAGCTAAGACATGATCAGAGTTTATAAGTGATAGCACTGGGATTTCAAGTCAGTCAATCTAGTCCGATTCCAGTGACTGGGCTTTAAGACCACAGCATTATTTTTTGTAAAAACCAAAGATGACCTACAGGGTCCTTCCTAGTGGCAGAGGGGTTAAATCTCAGTACTAGCTATCATGCTATCACCCACCGCTGCGGCCTGAGTTCAGTCCCCTGCCTGGGAGTTATGTATAGAAAGGTCACTTTCTAAAGCCCTTTATAAACGGATTGCTTTAATCCTTTCAGGCTCTGATATAGAAAGGTCACCAAGATACATAGTACTTAAGGTAAGGAGGAGAAGAACAGGTATAGAATGTGCATTCTGTGTATTCAAAAGGTATACAAGAAACTCTGAACAATATTTATATCTGGGTAGATGGACCAATAATCAAGGGAGACTTTTTCAGTGTATACCTTATTTACACTGTTTTAATATATGTATTTTTTCAATAAATATAGTAATTAAGTAAAAGTCATGCACATATACATGCAAACATATATAATGTACCAAGAATAGAACAATAATAGCTAAAATTTAGAGCATCATTCTATAGTTTTTTTTTTTTTTTGATAGAGGCATGCTTTATTTATTATTTGTTTTGCTGGTTTTGCTTGTTTGTTTTTGTTTATACATGCACTGGGTACAGTCAGAAGCGCGGGAGGGTGAGAGAAATCACCAGAGCCAGAGCGGGGAGCAGAGCAGACAGAAGGACCGAAGTACACTGCTGAGGGGAGCAGCGGGCGGCAGGAGAGGTCTGCGCGCCATGTGGGACCCTCCTCCAGTGGCCGGGGAGCAGCCGGGGATCGAACCGGCGCCGCAGAGGCCGCAGGCAGCTTCGCAACCCAGCGCTCAACCGCTGCGCCACCGGGGAGGCCCTAGAGCATCATTCTAAATTCTAAATGTTTTATATGTATTATCTCAAAAAGCCCTAGTAAGAGGATATTATTCTTACCCTCATTTTAAAATGGAGAAATATGGAGATTAAATAATTTGTTCACAATCATCCAATATAGAAGTACTAGTACTTGAACACTCATTGAGAATGTACCTCTAAAGCTGGTGCTCATAACTCCCTGTCCAAATCATTGTCAAAAAAAACGCCACAAATTATTTTTGTTTCTGATAATCTGGCAAAAAACAGTATGAGAGGCTTCAGTATGGTAGAGTTGGTTCATTTTAATGGATCAAAACATCTAAGTTTTTTTTTTTTTTTAGATTTATTTATTTATACTGGGGAACTGGGAAACAGGCCAGATGCGGGGGAGGGTGAGAGGATTCACCAGAGACAGAGTGGTGAACAGAACAGGCAGACTGACTGAAATGCACTGCTGAGGGGAGCAGCGGGAGAGACAGGAGAGGTCTGCTGCACCATGTGGGTATCTCCCCAGCCAGCGGGCCTCGAACTGCAGAGGCTGCGGACAGCTTCACTATGCTGCACTCAACTGCCTTCGCCACCAGGGAGGCCCCCATCTAAGTTTTTGTTTGTATCATTCTATGAATTGTTACCGAGGTTGAGCTCCTCTTTTCTGTAGCTGCATATTTTAAAAAAATGCCAGTTGACATTTGTTCTAGTTCAAATGCCAACCTATTGGTTTGGCACAGAGATTCTAGCCTGTGGTGGTAGTTGTGAATGTTTACTTAATCCACTGTGGTAAATACTGCTCCTGAAACAGCGCTGTGGGGGTGCAGTAGGGGTGCTCTAGTGGGTCTATACCTGTCCAAGGACCGTACCCAACACAGGACAGTCCTGTGGGTTCGCACCCATATTTATATTAAAATGATAGCCATATTACCTTCATCAGCAGCTTAGCCTTCAAATTGTGAACTCCCAGAAATGTTAATCCAGTTTGTTACTGAATTAAACTTGAAAATTCATGGTGGTTTTCTTCAAAAGATGAATGAAAAATAAATATTTTCTTCCCCATAATTATGTCTGGGTATGTATTTAGAAAGTTTTTTGATGTATTGAACAATGATCTCTTTTCAAGATACTTGCTATCACCCACTCGGATTCTTCTCCCTGGGTGCCAGCTACTTTATTGGACCCTCCACCTGTGGAGATCCAGGTGGGTATTTCTGTGACACTTTAGGGTCCTTGCTGGTTGCTCCTCCTGTGTGAGCTCAGTCTGCCTCCAGAGTTTTTCTCATTAGGCCCGTGGGTCTTACCCATTCTTGCTTGCTTGGGATGCTACAAGAAATACAGAAATGCTTTGTTCCTCCATCCAATTCTACATATTCTGCCATCCATACATACCTGGTGGTGGCAATAGCAACCTGAAAAGGGTGATAACTGGTTCTTGGAGACTGAGAAAAGGTTTTTTTTGTGTTAAAGCATGGCTATGTATACATTTATACTTCAACAGATAAACAATATATCTGTAGTATTAAAATTTCATGGGGGGGGTTGGTGCTCAGGGAAATACATGGTAACGGCAACAATGAATAAAAGGTTAAAAAATACTGCTATTATCTTTGCGGGTGCCATTTCACTTGCCCAGAAACCTTCAGTAGCTCCCCACCACTGACTCTAGAAAGCCCAGATTTCTTGTTCTAGTGTTTAAATTTCTTCCTGTTTGACGTCAGCCATCTCTCCATCCTGGCTTCCAGGCCTGTCCCCCTTGGGCCCTCCTCTCTAGTAAATTGCTGCTCATAGTCTCCAGCCGCAGCTCCTGCTTTTCTTCTTTACACCTGCCAGTCTGGGTGCCTTCCCCTCAAGTTTTCCCCATGGAAACCCTTTCAGTTTCCAGGATCCAGCTAGACCCCACCTCTATTTAATGCTTCCTTCCTCATTGTAGTTACAAGGTAGATCTCGTTCTTCTATGTTTCAGTGTATAACTTGCCCATATCATGTAGTGGGTGAAATGAGATTACTGTGTGCTTTTTATCACCCAATTTAGATCCTCCCTCCAATAAAATATAGCTCCTCTAGGAACATTTCTGAGATTTATATCCCTCTCTACTTGAGAATAGTCCCTTTGCAGTCGGCACTGGTACTTTTTCTGTAATAGATTTAATTATTTCCTTTTTTCCCCTCTGCCTTGATTTAATCATTTCTAACTTATGAATTTATTTTTAAAGATGTATGTATTTATGCATAAAGAACTGAGGTGTAGACCAGAGGTGTGAAGGGTGAGAGGACTCACCAGAGACAGAGTGGGGAGCAGAACAGGCAGATCTACTGAAATACACTGCTGAGGGGAGCAGCGGGCAAGACAGGAGAGGTCCTCTGGCTGGCTGGGGATCGAACTCATGCTGCAGTTGCTGGCAACAGCTTGACAGCCTTGTCTTTAACCCCTGCGCCACCCGGGAGGCCCCAATTATTTCTAATTTAAGAAAATAATTAAAAAATTATAAAAAATTAAAAAAAGAAAATGGTCAAGTTAGTATATCAGAGAAGGATGTAACAGGAGAGAGACTGACTTTGATGATGCTGTTACAAAATAGACTTATGTGCTTTTTTTTCAAATGTAATTGTCTTTCTCATTTAAGTAATGAATGCATGTAGCAACTAGCAGAACACAGCGTGGCAAACATAAACTGACCTGTCTATAGGGCCATAGGTCATAGTGTTTCCATTTCTCCTTGTTTAAGGAAAATGATTGTAACAGTGAAACTGGAGTTGTTGTTTAGAGCCAAGTAGAGCTTTAGGGTTCATAGAACTTCAAGAAGTTTCAGAAGACAGTTATTATTCCAATTCATCTCTTTGGAGAGCAGTAATCTCAGTTTAGGAAGCATGTACATGTTGGGCAAATCCTTTTTCAGATGGTATTAATAAGAATGGCATAGAATTGGGCCTCCTTGGTGGTGCAGGCTGTTGAGCGCTGCACTGTGAAGCTGTCCGCAGCCTCTGCAGTGCGGGTTTGATCCCAGCCGGCCAGCGAGAATCCCACATGGCGCAGCAGACCTCTCCTGTCTCGCCCGCTGCTCCCCTCAGCAGTGTACTTCGGTCCATCTGCCTGCTCTGCTCCCCGCTCTGTGTCTGGTGAATCCTCTCACCCTCCCGCGCATCTGACCTGTACCCTGGTTCTTGTATAAAAATAAATCTTTAAAAAAATAAAAGAATGGTATAGAATAAGAAAACACAACACATTTAACAAAGTGTCTACAATAGTTATTACTCAAATCATTTGTAATGCTTAGTAAATGAACCCAGCTGCTGCAACATACGAAACCTGGAATTCCAGATACTTCCATCTATCAAATCCATCCCTCTCTCATTTCAGGGGCTCTCTGGCTAGGCGGTATCCCATGTGATCATTTAGGAGCTAAGGCGCTTCATACGGTGATTTTGTCCTCCTGTGTGTCCGTGAAGTCATCTGCATGCAGCCAAAGGATGGGGAAGGAGAATACTGGATGAGGAGTGGGAGGTTTTATTACTGGACTTCTTTTCCTTCCCCATTCAGCTGGCCAGAACTCCATCCTGCTCCAGCTGCCATGGGGTCCACTGAATGTGATCTCATCGTGTGATCCGAAGAGAACAAGTGTATGGCGAGCAGCTGGTCATTCTGCTCCATTTTATTCCTTTGCTCTTCTATTTCACCTCCTAAAATTCAGGGGTGTTTTCATTTTTTCATTATTTCTGCTGCGTTAATGCTGTTTAATGTTGAGGGTCTCAAGTAGCTAAATATTTTTTACACATAATAAAACTTTCTGGTGAATTTGTTTCTGGTGCAAAGTTTGTATCAAAATCCTTGAAGACAGAAAGAATGAAGTGTTGGCAAGGGCAAGGTAAAATATGTACTTTCATTCATTGTTAAGAAAAGAATACATGGGGGCCTCCCTGGTGGCACAAGGGGTTAAGACGCAAGCTGTGAAGCTGTCGCAGCCCTGCAGATCCCCCGGCCCGCCAGGGAGCAACCCAGGTGGCGCTGCAGACCACTCCTGACTCGCCCGCTGCTCCCCTCAGCAGTGTACTTGGGTCAATGTGCCTGTTCTGTTCCCCACTGTCTAGTGAATCCTCTCACTGGACACCTCTGGGCTGTACCCCAGTTCTTGTATGCATAAATAAATCTTTAAAAAAAAGAATACGTTAGTATCTGTTCTGCAGAGAACTGTGAATTTAGAATATTTACACTGCTTGATATAGTCATTCTATTTTTGGGACATGACCTAGGGAAATGCTTTCAAATACAGATAAAATTATGGGTAAAAATGTTCACCAGCACTTTGACAATAGTAACAAATACTTGGAAACAATGTAAATGGCAACCTGGGGGGGGGTGATGAGGTTAAATAAATTGCAGTATATGTTAGGGAATGCTTAAATAAATGACAATATATATTACACATAAAATGAAATGTAACAATTGCAGGGTCCATGGTGCCTGAGGGCCTGAGGAATGAAGGTTGCGGGACAGAAAGGGTCACCTTGGGCAGGTGCAGAGACAAGGAGGGCGCGCCACCTAGTGGCGAGGACCGGTAAGAGGCGAAAGGGAGAGGAGCGAGCTGTTGTTGCGGTGGAAGGCGCCAGCCGCCTTCCACTACAAACCAGTTTGTAGTCATCTGTGGTCACTCCTAAATAATCCTGAGCAAATTTTGAAATCCAAATAGACTCAATTTTCCATTTTAATGGCTTCTTGAACTTTCCCATTGCACTGTTTTTGGAGAAGGGATGGGATATTTGCCTCCCTTTCAGTTTGAATTTCCAAACTGTCGGGCTGTAGCCCGAGGGCCTGGCCACGGTGAGGGCGCTCAGGTGTGCCCGGTGCACCTTCCCTTCCCGTGCACCTGTAGGGGCCCTTTCACCGCGCACGCGCTCAGCCCAGCCGCCTCGCGCTCCACGCCGGCGCGGCTGGAGACCCGGAGTCAAGTTTGCGCGGGTGGGAACCCAGTTTCAACAGGACGCATCTGCACGTCGATCTGGGACCTCCTGGGGCCGGGGGAGGGGAAGGTGAGAACATCTCCCTGTGGGTCCCTGAATGCGGAGGGGGTCCCCTCCGAGGACCCAGTGCGGGAAGTGCTGCAAGTGGAAAACTGGGGGGTCTTTGGGGTTCATAATCGGGCCTGGAGGAACCAAGTGGCCCGGGTTCATGCTTAAGCGTGACCTCCTGAGCATGTTCCTCCACCGTGGACTGGCACCTCCGTGCTGAATTGATGGCACCTGGCGTGGGTTTTCTGGGCCCTCTTCCGCGCTGTTGATCTGCGCGTGTTTATCACGGTGGCTGGACCTTAGAGTTTGGGGACCGCAGGTAACATTCTGGGGCTGACGCCCCCGCTCCACGCCCCGGGTGTAGCAGGCGGGAGGGCAAAGCCGCCTCCCAGACGCCGGGCCTGAGCAGCCCCCCCTGTTCTGTCCCGGGCATTTGTCCCCAAGGGGAAGCCAGGCGGGCTCCTCACCCCGCTGTCGCCCCTGGAGGCGGAGGGTGAAGATGGAACCCGGGGCGCTCAGCCTTGGCCTCTCCTCGGGTGTTCTGTAGAAGGGAAGGGTTTAAACCCTCCAGCATCAGCACATGGCTGGGTGGGGCCTGGGGAAGTCCCTCCCGGGCAGAATAACTGCGTCCTGCATGTCAGTGACTCGCTCCTCCTAGCCAGAAAAACTCAATTCAAACGCTTGTTTTTTTGGACGAGTTCTCACAGAATAAAATCTGTCAGGCCGCTTCCTGTGTTCACATTTATCTTTATCTAATAAACTATAACTTTACTTGAGACTTGGTCCAGGTAACAGTTTGAAGTCAGGGAGCAAGATGCCTCCAGCCTCACTGTCAAGATTGTGTTTTTGCTCTCCCTGGTCCTGTGTGGTCCCACACGCATTTCAGTCGTTTCTGTGAAAATTGCCATCGGGAATTTGATCAGGACCAAACCGAATCTGTCCTTTGCTATGGGAAGTCTGCACCTCTCAGTGATACTGTTTATTCCAGTCCCAGCACAGAATCTCTTTGCGTGTATTTGTGCTGTCGGGTCCTCTCCGAAAGGTCGATGCAGAGGCCGGGAATGAGGAAGCCCACATAGAAAAAGCACAAGAGGCCCTGACCCCAGGACCCCTGAGACCGTCACGCCGAAACTGAAGCCGTGAACAGGAGAAAAAACAACTTACAGGAGAAAACCAACTCGGCTCCACGAAAAACAACTGTGTTGCGCCTAAACCTGTGTCCAGCCCTGCCAACCCGGTTCTCCCACCTGACCTCTCCTCACCCTGTAAGAGCGACCTTCCCCTGACGACGGGTGGACTTCAGTGACCCCCACTTCGGGTCCCCGAAGCTGGCCCCGGGGCACAGGACATTTTCCCTTTGAGAAAGTTAAGCCTGGCTCCCCTTTTCTGCACCGCGCCTGCGCCGAACCTTTCACTTCCATGTGCTCGTTATCGAAAACCCTCTGGTGAGTCTCAGTCTCATTCTCTCTCAGCCCAGCCCCTCACCTGCCTGTCTCTGGCCCCCCTTCTGCCGCTCATTCGTGTCCCGAAATCCTGGACGAAATGCAAACCTTCAGACTGGGTTGGCCGACTCCCCTTTGCCAGATGCCTGCTGGACGCTGCTTGTAGACGGCAGCTCTTGCGGAGATGCGCGAGGTTGGCGGAGGCCGCCGGTGCCATCGTCACCATCGACCAGGTCATCAGGCAGGAAAGTTGCCCGGTGGAACCACCTCCCAAAGGGCAGAACTCATAGGGCCCTTACCCTCAGCAAACATAAGAAAGCCAACATCTATACAGATTCAAAATATGCCTTCCTAGGGCCTCCCCGGTGGCGCAGCGGGTTGAGCACAGCACTGTGAAGCTGTCCGCAGCCTCTGCCAGCGCTGGTTCGATTCCCAGCCTGCCAGGGAGAACCCCACATGGCACAGCAGACCTTTCCTGTCGTGCCCGCTGCTCCCCTCAGCAGTGTATTTCATCAGTCTGCCTGTTCTGTTCCCCGCTCTGTCTCTGGTGAATCCTCTCACCCTCCCGTGTCTCTGGGCTGTACCCCAGCTCTTGTATAAAAATAAATAAATAAAAAATATATGCCTTCCTAATCGCTCCCCGTCATGCTGCGATTTGGCAGGAAAGGGGGTTCCTCTCCACCAAGGGGTCTCCCATCATTAACGCTAAACTTATCCTTACGCTTCTAGCAGCCTTGCAGCTTCCAACTGAAGCCGCCATTATCCACCGTAAAGGACACCACCTGACAATTCTCATGTTCCCACAGGTACTAGCAAGGCTGATGCAGCGGCAAGGGCTCTCACAGCTGATTCTGCTGCAGACCCTGCCCCTAGTCTCTATCTGTCCCCTCCATCACTCCGGCTTAGGAGCCTCATGAATGCCAATTCCTGACGACAAAAGGAGGGACTGAAGTAGCCCAGGGCTGGATTATGTAAATAACAAACTGGCCTTACCTGCCAAGCAGGCGGACTGGGTCATTCAACAAGCCCACAATACCCTCCACATCGGGTGGCGCCCACTTACCTAAGTCCTGAGTTCGCTCTTCTTCCACCCCTCCCTGAGTGCAGAAGTCTGGCAGAATGTTCCCGTTGTCAGCCTGTGCTCATGCGTCACCTCAAGGGGGAGGTGGCCCACCTTCTTTTGCAGCTCGCCAACTGCGTGGACACTTCCCCGGACAGGATTGGCAGGTTGACTTCACTCACCTCCCTACTCACAAAACAAAAAGGTTAAATACCTAATAACAGGTTGGGTCGTGGCCTTCCCTGCAGCTAGAGAAAGGCTCAGGTGGTAACTGAGGCCCTTCTTAACCACATTATCTCGAGCTTTGGCCTCCCCACTCCTCTCCAATCTGATAAGGGTCCAGCTTTTATCTCAAAGATTACTCAGCAGGTCTCCGTGGCTCTGGGTATCACCTGGAAGCTTCACATTCCCCACCACCCACAATCCTCAGGGAAAGTGGAGCGCCCCAATGGGCTAATCAAGAATCACCTGACAAATCTCTCGTTAGAGCTCAGTAAGTCCTGAGTCGAACTTCTCCCACCGACTCTCACTAGGATACGAGCCACTCCGAGAGGACCCCTTTTCATCAGCCCCTTTCTCCTTAACCACGACCTTAATCATGACCTACCCATCCCCCTCCCCGCTTGCTGGTTGTCTCCCCTATGCTCCCTACTCAGGCAACTGCTCCGGGAACACGCAGACGGGTACTTCCCAGTCCTGCTTCGAACCTCCACCAACCTTGCCCAGCACTGCATCCGGGAGACCAAGTCCTGCCCAAATTGCTTCAACTAAAGCCACTGCAGCCTCGGTGGACTGGCCCACACACGGTCATTCTCACCACGCCTACAGCCGTAAAACTTTTGGGAGACCCCTCCGGGCACCAGCTATCACGGGTCAAACGTGCCCCTGAAGACAGACAGTATGTACGTCATAACCTGGGTCCTACTGGGATGCGCATTTCCTCCTGTCACGATCTCTCCCAGTGTCCTATGTATGGAAATTCAAAGTTAGGGAGACCTATGTCTCAGGGTCTACTGAGACCACCCACTTGCTGGGCACAAAGACTGCCCACAGACAGGTTGTTCAAAACCCCCTTCTCTCATCTTAAGACATACCTCAGTCTCAAACCCGCTTGAGGCTCTATTCTGCTTCTTCTATGACCAAACCCTAGAATCCTGCAGAAATACATACAAAGGTTACGGAGGGTGCCCCTACCGTTGGTGCAAGATGCATTACTCAGGCCCTTACGAGATGTTCTCCCCTGTTTACCATGGCAGCGGTTTCTATTCAACCCAAA